ACTCCTCTCTTCACCTGCACCCGGCTGGTTATGTCTGTGATGTTGTTCAGTTTCTCACAATGGTGCCGCCACCACGCTCTTGCCCTGTCGAAAAAAGGATCGCCCCCACCCCATTTGTACACAGGGTGCAATCGCAGCAAGTGCATCACATCTCTCATGCATAGACCAGTCCGCGGATTTTTCTGATTGATGATGCACGTGTATTGCTCCAGTGATAAGGACACGCCGCTCCGCTGCTCGAAACCAACAATTGTGCGCCCAGCGGCGCTCCGGCATATGCAGTATGCCGCCATGAGCATGGCAAGCAGGGATGAAGGATGGTCATATTCAGCGCAGGGCAACCTGCGATAAATGAACCGGAGCGATTCCAGAACACCCAATGCATCGTGCAGCACAGAAGGAAAGGTCATGCAATTCAGGTACGCGATCTGGCGGGCGGCCTGGCTATCGCCAGGCGTCGCCCTGCTGGTCTCTCGATTGCGCAGCTCCTGCGGGGAATCCTTTGCAGATCCCCCCGCCGATACGGGGCGTCAACGCTCCAGCGAGAATCAGGCGCGTCAATAGGCATGCGGATCCCCAACAATATGTTTGACCGTTGAGGCTCTCGACCCAAATGGCTACGGATGCGTTTCGCCTAATCTGGCCCGAGATTGGGTGGACCGCCTCAGGTCGAGGCATCTCTGGACTTAGTTACGATGATGTTTTAGGCGAAACGGACTACATCACTTCGTGCGCGGCATCTCTGAACCCAAAATTTGGAGGACGTCTCAGGCGAGACTGAGTGGACCACCTCAAGCCGAGGCATCTCCGACCCCAGAGTTGCAAGGATGTCTCAGGCGAAGCTGGTCCGACCATTTCGCGCGCGGCATCTCTGAGCCCAAAGTTGGGCGGATGTCTCAGGCGAGACTTGGTGGGCCACCTCAGGTCCAGGCATCTTTGAACCCAGAGTTGAGAAGATGTCTCAGGCGAGACTGGTTGGAGTGCTTCGTGCGCGGCAAATTTGAGCCCAAAGTTCGGAGCATGTCTCAGGCGAGAATGGCCGGGCCACCTCGGGTGAAGTCATCCATGCGACCAGAGTTGCGAGGATGTCTCATGCTAAAATGGTTGGGGCGCTTCGTGCGGGGCATCTGTGAGCCCAGAGATGGGGGACGTACCGAGAGATAAGTGGCAGGATCAATTCAGGGCGAAGCATCTCAGAACACAGGGTTGCGAGGATGTCCCAGGCGAGACTGGCGGGATCACCTCGTGCGCCGCACCTCCGAAACCAAAGTGAGTAAGATGTGTCCGGCGGACCTGGCCGGAACACCGCGGGTAAGGGGATCTCTGGGCCTACGGTCGACATGGCAACGATAAACATGGATCAAGAACACAAGCCCTTTCGCCGAAGGCCAAGGGCCCCATGAAGATGCCAGAAAGAAAGACCAGCCCAATGTAGGGGTCCAAATGCGAAAAACAGAAGAACACCCCTCCGAAATTATGGCGATTCTTTACCCTCATGCCAGACCACCTCTTGCGCGGCATCTCGGAGCCCAGAATCGCCAGAGCGAGTGCTTCCGCGCGGCACCGTCGAGGCAACAACCGTCAGCGTCGCCGCCAGCGTCATCTTTGTCGTCGTTGTCGTCGTCGCCGCCGCCGCCGTCTTCGTTGTTGTCCGCCTCCTCCTGGTCCTCCTCGTCCTCCTCTTCCCGCCTGGCACGCCCCCTACTCCTCTCCCCGCCTGGCACGCCCCCTCCTCCGCCTCGCCGCCTCCTCCTCTTCCGCCTCCTCCTCCTCCTCCTCCTTCTCCTCCTCCTCTTCCTCCTCATCCTGCCTCTCTTTCTGCCGGCCGAGCCGGGCTGCCCGGATGAACCGGGGGCGAAGGACGAAACGAAACGAAGGAGGGAGGAGATGAGGGAGAAGACGGGGGCTCACGGCAAAGAGGCAGTGGCAGCGGCAACGCGGATAGGGGAGGAAACGAGGAGGCAACGAGTAGTCAGCCCAACTCCGCTATTGTTTCTCGAGACACGATGTGGACTGTTCTCAGGTCCCATCGATTCTCTTTCCAAGGGTATGAATATTATCATAAAACCCACATCCCGGAGTTCCAGGCGATCCAAGGATTGCTCGCGTGACCTCAAAACCCCAAAAACACAATTTCGCCTGATACACCATCGAACAATCTGGCCCCGAGGGTGATACTCGAGTTTGGCTACCGAGCCCAACCATCCGTAAATTACGCCACATTCGCGGCCCCGAAGCCACGACCCCCCATAAAGTACGCCATGTCCGCGCCCCCGAGGCAACGATCTCTGGTAAATTAGGCCATGTTCGCGTCATTGCCGTTGTCGTCGTCGTCGTTTCGGACCTCGGCCCCCGAAAGAAGCCCCCAGAAGCCCCCCAAGAGGCCCAAAAGTGGCCCCACGAGGGCCTAGGTAAACTCAAAAGAGCACCAAGAAAGCCCCAACAGGTTCCCAAGAGGACCCCAAGAGGCACCCAAGAGGCCCGAGGAGGGCCCAGCGCCGCCGACGAAATTGCGTCCCGTAAGATTATAATTTGCGGGAGACAAATCCTCGATACTTTCTGCGATTTTAACGCACGGGGGACCCGCCCAGACCCCCCCGATAGGGGCCCTCTTGGGGCCCTCGTGGGACCATTGCCGACCGCCGACGGCCCCCTCCGACCCCCTGGAAAATCTCTGGGAGCCAAGAGGGTGTATGCATCAACGCACTTACGATAAGAATGCAAATGCGCTATGGTAGGGTGCACATACCGATGGCGAAGAGAATGATGATGATTGGGATGACGTCGCAAGACGTCGGGCACGCACGGCGATGATGATGTTACTTTTGTTGGCATACAACAACCAATGCTTCGATGCCCGCGAACTGCTGCGTCCAACTGTATACGCAACAGCGTTGAAACGCTCGGCCTGTCAGCGCCTGCACGAGCCAACAGCGAAGCAGAGAAAGACGGCGATGAAACCAGGGAGTACATCACGCGAATCGTGTCTGAGGCCCGTCGAAGCGCGAAGGTCTGCGACCTTCATCTGTGCGCGCAAAAGCAGTGCACAATTATGGCCGCTCGGCTCCTGCACGAGCCAGCAGCGCGAATGAAGATGGGCAAAAACAGATACGCGGCCAACTGGCAATCATTTGAGAAGCGTTGCCATGGCCTGCCACGGGTCCATGCCTCTTGTCCAGTATTCGTATTGTGCTGACTGGACTGCCACCGTAAAGGCGCGCGACCCCGGTTTCATACTTTGATTTTTGTGGATGCGGGCTTTCAAGAATCTCCAGCAACTATCAATTGTTTGAGTTCCCGACTTGCGCCACAATCTTTTGCCATCGACGCTATGCTGCACTGTAGCTACGTATTTTGGCTTTGTCCAAAAGTAACGCGCAGTCTTCTTGTTGAACACTCTTTTTCTCTTGTGTACGACCTGGTCCCGCACAGTTCCTGGGATGTTAGTTTCGCGATAGGCTCTTGCTGAGTCAGTATGTATAACAACACAGCGGTTCTGCAACTGTTTCTTGGCGACGGCTTTCCACTGATCCTTTTTTATCGGCCCTGGGCCCGGCGACCTCGCCAGGGTGGGCGAGTTCTTCGAGCGAATGAGCATGAGAGTTCCCGGGTGGCCTCGACGCAGAATACCAATCCAGTTTTCCCAAGCAAGCGCCTTGTCAGACGTGCTGCGTGGAGGGCGGAGTAGCATCTTGCCGAACGAGGCTTCGTCAACTTCGATGTCGTGCCACTTCTCCGCCGGTACTCTTTTCTCGCTGCCATATGTCATGACCTTCTCCTTTCGCTGCGCGTGCAGTTTGCGGGCATTCTGTAGTAGACCGTGCGTGTGGATTACGGACCTACGCGCATGCCCTTTCAAATGGATGGTGCTAGTCACGGAGTCCGCCGTGGACAGACATAGTAAGTTCATGAGTTGCTGGTGGAGAGGTGCCGAACGCCGCCCATGATGCAGTAGTGGACATTGCCCCCATGGAAACTCACGATGTTGACACTTATAAAACGAGCAGCGGTGGAATGGCTCGCCCCCGTCAGATCGAAACTGCTCGGCACCAAGAAATCCCTCCTAATACACAGGACAGTGCTCTCCATGCAAGTCTTTTGCGAAACCTAGCTTGAGCATGAGATCCCAGATCTCTGCCTCTGTCATGCGGGCCAAGTCAACTAAAGTTTTGCTTATTTTGCGATCCCGTGGATCTCCTCTGATTTCTGCTGCCGTGGACTGCGTGTAGGTGGCGCGCGCGCGGGCACTCTGCCGCGCGCGGGCTTGCGCCGCTGGCTTTTTGGCAAGTCCCAGAGTATTCATAACGCTGCGGCCATTGCGAACTCTGCCGCGTTTCGGCACAAATTTCCCCATACTTCACACCGCGGGTATCTGTTCTTGAGCCGAATCGCCGAGAGAACCCATCTCTTCCCACTCCTGGCAGCGATGCCCGAGCAAGCCAGCGGACATAGGCTTGACGACGACTGCAACATGTTTTCCTGCATCCTCGCTTCCAGGCAGTCGACGTCAGCTGGGGCCGCCAGCGCAGGGCGCGCGCGCCGCGCGCTGCAAATGAGCGGAGGCGCCTGCGCAAAAAAAAGCGCCCGCGCTGAAACGGCCCTGGATGCGCCGCCCCTGCTCAACAGTGACCTATGGTACACGCAACGCCGCTGCCGCAACAATCGGGCCCATGACAGATTGCACATCGTCGCAGCGGAGAGCGCAGCGAAGTGTTTCAATGAAGTGCTCCGCGCCCCGTTCAGCGGGCATTCTCCCCGCGCAAACATGCATGGCCAAATAATTACGCCTTCTACCGAGCCACCGAGCCTACGCCAGAGTAGGCGGGCAGATCGCGCCAACGCACTCCTGCCCCCTGGCATTCGCTCGACGCCCTGTACGTGCGCCGCGAGCCGGCGCAGCATCGGCAACTGATATCTGCGGAGCAGCGGCGTCAACCCTGCGCGCGACGCCAGGACTGCTGCATCCGCGAGGCAGGCGATAGCGCGAGGAAATCTCGCGGTCACGCGATGAAGCAGACCACCTGGTACCACTCACAACTCTCCGAAGGCGTGCCGTCGGGCAGCAGGTGCCAGGCGGAATGGCCCACGCTGATCTGCTCTCGCAGGCCGTCAATGAAATGCACGCGGCCTTTCTCAACAATGCCGCCGACGGCGTGCCCTGGGTGCTCGGGCGCGGCATCGTAAACGATGACGTAGCGCCCGGTCTGGGAGCCCCTGGCCGACCGGGGTCGCGAGCGGAGAAACGACAAACCGAAGAGGCTGATCATTGCCTCTGCCTCGCCCAGAGTGTAGGGGCCCGGGCGATCGTAGGGCACGGGAACGCCAATGGCGTTGAGGGCATCCAGGAGGCAGCAGTCTGGGCATTGCAGCACATTCTCGGGGCGGACCTGCATCGACAGGGCGGAGCCGAGTGGTCTGTCGTACAGGCGGGCCCCCCGCGGGAGGCGGGCGGGCGGCTCGCCCTCGGCCTCGCTCTCGCCCCCGCATGAGAGAACGTCGATCACGGCGCCGCTGGCGCTGGCTGCGGCGGGCGCCGCGGCGGGACTGCCGGGCTCTCTCTTCGGCCTCGCGGCCGCGCTCGGCGCGGACCTGGCGCCGCTGGCGATGTCCGATGCATGCCCCGTAGCGGCGCTGCCGGGATCCCTCTTCGGTCTAGAGCCATCAAGTGCGTCGGCCGGATCCAACTCCACGCGCTCGCGCTTCGTGGGGGGGGGGGGGGGGGTATATCGGAACGCGCGGCGCGACATACCTGTCGGCGCCAGCGACCCCGCGACCGGCAGGCGGAAGCGATGCTGGCCGTCAGCATCCGCCCGCGCGCGCACGCCGCCGGAGTCGGACGCCGGCGTGCCGGCAGTCGCGGGAACGCGGTGAATCGAAGGTGCAGTTGGCGCGGCGCTGGCTGACGATAGAAGGTCGGCCGTGCGATTCGCCCACCACGAGGCGATTTCCTCTGAGGTCTTCTGCCGCACCGCCTCCTGCACCTCGCATACGAAATTGTACTCGTTTTCGACGTGCAGCGCATAGTCTGGGCGCACGCAGTCCTCATGGCCCATGCCCTGGTAGAACCCGGCCAGGACGCCCTTGTTGCCAGGCAGCAAGAGATCGGACGCGACGTCGCCCTGGGTGAACTTCAAGATTTGGGCAGCGTCGTCGGAGCTGGGCGCTCGCACATACAGAGCGCGCCGGCCGACGACCACCAGCGCGAACCGCTTGGTGAGGGCGAGCCTGTGCGATTGGCTCAGGTAGCCGAAGGGCTTCTCGAGCATCTTCATGAAGAGCTGCGGGTCGACGAAGAAACCAGCCGAGGGCGGCGGCTCAGCATCTTCAGACCAACTATTGCTGAGAAGCGCGTGGAACTGTCCCTTTGCCCATTTTGGAGGGGGTAAATCTCGCGTCAGAATGGCCGGCTGCGTGGATGGTGCCGAAGGCCTTCAGGTCCTCGACATCGATGCGGCCCAGAGACGGATCGTCGAGCAGTATACCCTCATAGACAGGAGTCGCTTTGTCACGGAACACATCCATCTGTTTGCCGCGCCGGTAGCCAGGCTTTTTGTCGATGCCCTTGCTCCGCGTCGCGTATCGACCCCAGGCCATGGCTGCGATCTGGCACAGGGGGGTCTCCCCCACTCCGGGAGCACCAAGGACCATGGTGCCAGAGAGCGGGGCGAAGGCATAGATCAATGGCAGCAGCAGATCCTGGATGACAGGGTGCAGGTCGTACGACGTCAGCGGGAAGAAAGTGTCTACATCGGCCGAGGCAGATGCCTTGTCCATGTTCACCAACGCCTTCTCGATCTGGCTAGTCGGCCACCCATAGCAGGCGCTTGACCGGACCTTAGTCTGCAGCAGCACCCACTCCTGAGCTTCGATCGCACTCGAGCCGGCAATCTCATGGTAGTGCTCGCGGATGTATGCGAAGCCGTCGCGGATCTTTTCTGGCGTCGGGTCCCACCCCTTCCCATGCTGATCTTTCGGATGCTCCTTGCGGGTCACACTGAAACGGCGAACGTGGAATCCAGGCAGGCGGTCGAGCATCGCGTTGAAGTTCTTCCGCTGGCCCCACGCATTGTTTTCCTCGGCCGCAGGGAACGTCGCCGACGTCGGCCCATGGTGCACAGGTGCGCGTCTGCACGCTTCAGGTTGCTACCGTGCTTGAAGATGAAATGGCGCAGCGCGTTGTACCGCCCCGCGCCGGCTCGCTGGACGACGAACTGCGCCTTCACACTCGCAGGCGCTCCCTGGGGAATCTTCAGCACGTCCGGCAAGCCCGCCATTGCCTGTGGCCCACCACTCTCGAAGGTAGTCTTGACCTCCTGTTCGTCGATGCTACCCGACCACGACGTCACCACGTCGAGCAGGTTCTGCACGTGGGCGACCTGGTCGACTGGGCGGAAAAGGAAGTCCTCCATCTCGAGCGCGACCGCCACGTCTTCAGGGTTCACCATCCTGCCTTGGTTGTCTGGCCGACTGCCGGGAGCATTTTTTGATCGCATACGTCAC